TGAATCAAAGAATGGTCGACTGGCAGGCATCTTGTTTTGTTTTTTATATGCGGTATCTTGGACGTGCTCTGTCAGTTTTCATTCAAATTTGGCACATACATGTACTTTATACATGTTAGGATGCATGTCCATGACAATTTGTTTCAAAATCTGGTCAAGGATGGCCGATTGACAGCCATTTGACTTTTTGGCCTTACTACTATATTTCCACAATTTATGTACCATTTTCATTCGTATTTGGCACATACATCATACATATCAGTGTGTTTCATAATTAGATCAAAGATGGCCGAAACTTGGCTGTTTTTTGGCCATATTACTACTACGCAGAACACGTGTTTTGATGTAAATAAACAATCTGTTGTATACGCCACATGAAAGACACGCTCGAGACAACCCCTCCGCTTTAATATGACAAGCACAAAGAGAACTTTCAAAAATTTAACGGGGACTGTGTCATTTTCAATGACTTGTTGCTCTAAGGGATCCTTTTTTGAAAGCTACAATGTACCAACCGGTGTATTTATAGATTTTCATCAAATGCTTATTGTTGTCAGTTAAAAATCACCACTCCCATTCACCAATAACTGTTCCTTATATGCTTTCTTCTCATATTTCTTATTCTTGTTTCAGGTCAAGGTTCAAACCCTCTTGGTGGAGTGACATTAAAATCACCAAATGCACCATTGAGGCTGGGACTTTCCAAAAATGTTCGTGTCAAACCACTGCACCCACATGTTAAATAGTAGGTGCTGACCACCATGAATGTATGATCACAACTCTTTCCTGTGTTGTATTTTATCTTATAAATTTTGAAACATCTTACTCAGATGTGGAGATCACAGTGAAATGTTTTTAAACTACTAGCATTATGGGAAAGTAACACTTTCAATTTGATACAACAGCTTTTCTGATTGGTTACCATGTAACAGCTTTTCTGATTGGTTACCATTTAATAGGATATTCTGATTGGTTACCATGTAATGGGATATTCTGCTATATTGGAATATACAGGCTCATATTTGGACATCAACTTATTATCCAAATTTTGTGGGTTTTGACTTTTTTTGTGAAGTAAGTGAGGCTGGTTTAAAGTTGTTGGGAAATTTGTTTATTTTGCATTACAATATCTTCGCTATTGGCTTGGATTACAGCCTTGGAAATGTCATCCGTATTTTAATTATCACTATAAAATATATTTATACAATACTCCATTATGCAGTATACTTTGTGCTAATTTGACATGGTGTTATATACCTTTTATTGGGTAGACATCCCAATCTCTAATGTTCACCACTAGAGGGTGCTATATTCCATTCCCATACAGTGTTATTGAACAATATGCAGAGTTTACATATCTAATAAGCCTTTGATTTTCATTAAAGAAAAGTTTACAGGTATGGCATGAATTTTTTAAGGTTAGCAATCATAATAGTTTTTTTTTTAAATGAAAATGCTTGTTGTGTGAATATTATTCATATGTAACCCAATGAATTACCGTTCACAGCCATTGCCTCAGTGGGCAAGTGTCAAAGTACATTACAGAACCATTCATCAGTATATCAACATTTGTCTTCCAGAATATTTGTGAAAACTGTATGAAATCATATTTATCTATTTTCTTGTCTTTTTTTTTTAAATGATGGGATAATAAAAAAAAAAAAAAATTTTCAAAAAAAAATATTCTCTTCTGTTTATCACTTAGAAGGCTTATTGTGCTTTGTCATAATGTATACCGTAATTCCACAACCTGCCTTGGGCAACAAGATTTATATCCATTGAATAAAGATATTATGTCCAAAATGTATGTGGTACTGTGGCATATGATTGAATATCACTAGTACCTTAGTGAACACTTCTGTTGAAAGGGATTGGTGTGTGCTAGAGATTAGCAATTAGCTACAGATGATTAACAGGTGCCCATTGTTTAGACATAGGGCAGGGGTTGACATGACCATGTGCATTCAACAACACATTTATATAGTATGGTTTTTATATCCAACACTTGGTTCACAATGATAACTGTTCTTTTAAAGTAGTCCTATATTTTGTTTGTGTGTGGCCACAGGGAGCCCAGGAACAATGATCAAATGTATGCAGTCTCTATGGGGAGTGGGGAGTTTGTCAAGAATCAATCACAATCAGTACGAAACAGTTGAGTGAGGTTAACTGTGCTGTGAAATCACAGTGGTTTGTTACCAGTCCCCACCCCCCTTATAGACACTGTTTAAAGTTTGTTACAAAGCATACTGTTTGATATGGGTCCCCTTTGAAAGTATACAAAAGGTTCTAGATGAATTATTATTTTCATTGTGGGTAAGGTTCCAGTAGCCGTGTTGTGTTTACTTTCATTCACTACACTTTTTATATTTGAATATTTATTTGTCATTTATCACAATGTACATAATCTAAAAATTCAAATATTTACACTTAAAAATATCTGAAGAAATGATACCTGTATTGTTTATACAATGCCAAATCCACATTTGACTTGTTACGACTTGGTTGACATTTTAAGAGTCAAATAAAATGAAAAATTTCACTCATTCCATTCCAGTAAAAAGAATGTAGTACTACCTATATAGTAACACCTTGATGCTTAATGTTTGTTTCCTTATTTTTATTATTTTAACCTATCACTGTATCCAATTAACACATTGTACATCACCCAAATGAATGCTGCTGACATTTGAAGTAACATTTGTGTGTTTTTGAATACATAAACAGCAGCTTGGAATATCATTGTCACAGTATAATGTTCCAGTTAACTGCATGCTTCCACAAATTAGAGATATATTTCCAAACAGATACTAAACCGTGCAAGGAGACGATTGGAATATTTCTGTTTGCAGCTTTCATAATGGTTGATGTACATGTACAACACTTGATCTAATTTTGAATCATTAAATACGGTAACATGTGGCGATACTAGAGCAAGTGATTCAACTTTGGCATAATTAAAGCGAATTTCTTGTTAACTATTCATGGTAGTCATGAAAATGACAAAACAAATATTACAATTGCTACAATGATGCTTGTTCATGTACTTCGATAATTGGTTTCCATATTTCCTTGATTGTCATCAGTTTTGCATAATGGTTATTAGTAGACAAATCATAGGCTTGGTGTCAACAAATGAACAACATTGCACAAAGCAATTTCACTTGCTGTCAGGGCGCCATACTGAGTCGCAAACAAATGAACGGTATGTCTTTGTAACACAAATCAGATTGAGGATAAACAATGCTTTGTGATGCCTTTAAGCAAATATTCGCTAGTCTGTTTTGAATCTAGACAGCAACACCTCCTAGACATTGATGTCACCACAGCCACTCTCCTAGTAGAGTGACTGATGTCCTGAATGACCTTCAAAATTCTTGAATTTTCTGCCATTTTCATTTTTGAATAGAAAAACATATACCACGTTACAAAGTCTACAAGGGATGGAAAATCTGTGCAAATGAAGTTGGTGTCTCAAAATCCACAATATATGCAAGCTAATCCTGATTTAGGTGAAATAAACACTGAGTGTATTATGTAATAGACTGTCATCAGATGATTCAGATCTATGAAGTTTATCAACATCAATCACCAATGGACCAGGATTGTGTTTTCTCAACTCAACGTCAAATTCACAGTTGTGCAATCTCACAGTGTGGAGATGGGGTAACGAGTGACCAGCACTCAGAATACGATCTGTAAAAAAATATATAAAAACTTTATTTCTTGCACATTCACATTCAATTTATTCTAACCTCAGCTGTCTCTGAACATAAAGTATCTAAAATATACTGGTCAAGAAAACGATGAATTTCAATCCATAATACAAATACCGGTCAAGAAGACGATGAATTTCAATCCATAATACAAATACCAATAAAAACTTACTCATTGTTGTCCTGTGACCAGACAGAATCAACTCTTGCAAATTTGGACAATACTGAATAGAACAAAAAAAATGATTTACCAGTATAACATAAAATTAACTTGTGAGAAATGCAGAAGGATAAATGTTGGAAGAAAACATACAAAAAGACAAGAACCAAAATATTGCATACCAATAGGGCTTACCGGTAATTATTCGCTGGGTTTTATTTTCGCTTATTTCTCTGTTAGTTAAATGCACTAAAATTAGTATGCAAAGTTAACAAAAAGAGAAATAATCTGTGTGAACAGCAAACTGTTTTTTCCGGACTGATACAATAGCTCACAATAGCATTACTGTGATATGATTACTGTGTCAACTGAAACACCAATGCAGCAAGTTTTAATACAAACATACAATTGCTAACATCCTGGCAAGGAACTTCACATCATTGCTGCATAAATGAAGGGTTTTCAATGAAACCAACTGTGAACTGTGAGCTGTGTCTAGAGATGTCAACTCGTCGACTGAAAACATCATACTGGTCAAACTGGGACAACCTTGTATACGTAAATATTTTAGCCCTGGGCATATAATGTCTGCAAAATGAATACGAATATACGAGTTGAATAGTCACCAGGAAAATCTGGTAATACTGTAAAACATGTTGATAAAACGATATTCAATTTTAGAGAATTGTGGTAAAATGATGTAATAGCGAAATGTTTAGAGAATCTCTCTTGTCAATGATTTCCTGTTTACACAATACTTGTCTGTTGCATGACAAAACAAATGCACAGTTATCACCTCCATAAAAACAAATAATCAAAGAAAGCTTAGAAAGAACTCCCATGTGCTGAGAGTATTGGAGACACATTAAATATAATTTGAAATTACTTAGCTGAAAACTAATTATGCAAATCAAAAAATTAATATGAACAGATTTGAGTGTAAAACTAATGAGGTCTGCGCAATGTAACAGAAAATCTATGTTTCCAAGTTTAATTGAAATGTGATTAGAACCAAAAAATTATGAATTATTATGCTTATTAGGGAATTAATATGAACAGATTTTTACCCCAAACTAATTAGGTTTGTACATTGTCCTAGAGCATCTTTGTACTAAGTTTCATTGAAATAGAATAATTAGTACTTTAGATATAAGTGTGAAAGCTTAAAATTGGTTAATTATGCAAATTAGGTAATTAATATGTACAGATTTTAACCCACAATTATCCAGTAAGCAAATAACACCGAATAAACGGCAAGGTAAATACTACGTATAATTATAGTAAACACGTACTGCGTGCGTGACTCGAACAGGCGCTCGCGTACGACACCTAATCGCCTAGCTTCATGCCACTACACGTCTTCCCCTCGGCCACCGGGCATCCCCAAAAAAGGATGCTTAATAACCGAGCTTGTTACGTGCAGAAAACATGAAACCCGTCCACGCGATCCGCGCCACACAGCGTGGCCAGAATGCGGCAAAGGCCTTCAGATCTGGCTGTAGTAGGATGCTGTACCATTACTTTCACCATCCTACTACAGCAAAAATAGAATATCATAACAAGTAATTATAATCCTAGTAACCGGATTGGTTAATGCAAGCAGATTTAACTTCGGACATCATGACCGACTATTATAAAGTACGTCGGTGTCTCAAAACTTCGGTCATTTTAAACATTGTTTCATGAATTGTAATTTGGAATTATATTATTTCAGATATTATTTAAACTCTACAAACCGCAAAACCTGTTTCACTTGTGTCGCGCAACGTTTTTTTACAAGTGAAGAAAAGCCCACGTTTTGAATTAAATCATAGTTGTCAA